CATGCGTCAGAGAAGGTGGATAGAATTCCTTAAAGATTATGATTGTGACATCTTATACCATCCGGGTAAGGGCAACGTGGTAGCGGATGCCCTCAGCATGAAAAGTGCAGGTATCTTAGCCCATTTGATGGTTTCAGAATACAGACCAATTGGGGCCACACAATAGGTTTGACTTCATGATCTGATGAGAGTCACATGTTTGGGCCGCCTGACAGTCCAACCCGAGTTAATTCAGAGAATAAGGGAAGCCCAGACAGTTGACCCCGCCCTGGTAGCCCGTATGAAGGAGGCAGAACAGGGAGGGAGCTCAGAATTTCGAATATCTGTCGATGGACTACTTCGTTTCTAAGACAGAGTGTGTGTCCCAGATGACAGTGAGTTAAAAAGGGACATCATGACGGAGTCCCATAGCTCGAAGTTTGTCATGCATCCAGGAAGCACCAAAATGTACCAAAGCATACGACCTCGGTTTTGGTGACATGGGATGAAGAGAGACATAACTGACTTTGTATCTAAATGTTTGGTATGTCAGCAGGTCAAGGTAGAGCATCAGCACCAAGGTGGGTTACTTCAGCCTTTACCGATCCCGGAGTGGAAGTGGGAACATATCACCTGGACTTTGTATCGGGGCTACCCAAGGCACGTTCAGGACACGATGCCATATGGGTAATCGTTGACCGACTTACCAAGTCTTCCCACTTCCTAGCCATCAGGATGACCGATTCATTGGACAAGTTGGCAAGGATGTATATCCGGGAGATAGTCAGATTGTATGGGGTTCCAGTGACAGTAGTGTCCGACAGGGATCCTAGGTTCACTTCTCGATTTTGGAGTAGCTTCTAGCAAGCTATGGGAACAAAGCTATCTCTTAGTACTGTTTTCCATCCCCAGACTGATGGACAATCAGAGAGGACAATTCGTACGCTTGAGGATATGCTCCGAGCTTATGTCCTTGACTCCGGGGGCCATTGGGACAACCATCTGCCCCTGATAGAGTTTGCCTACAACAACAGCTACCAAGTAAGTATCGGCATGGCTCCATATGAGGCGTTATATGGGCACCCGTGCAGATCACTGATTTGCTGGGAGGAGGTGGGCGATAGAAGATTGTTTGGTCCGGAGTTGGTAGAGGAGACCACGTCCAAGATAGTTAAAATCAAGAAGAACATTCAGACAGCTCAGAGTAGGCAGAAGAGTTATGCAGATACCCGGAGGAGAGACCTAGCGTTTGAGAAAGGCGACCGGGTGTTTCTTAAGGTCACTCCTTTCAAGGGAATTAGTAGGTTTGGCAGGAGGGAAAAATTAAACCCCCGGTATATTGGACCCTTCGAAATCTTAGACAGGATTGGTACTGCTGCCTATAAACTAGCACTGCCTCCAGAGCTCTCCAGAGTCCACAACGTGTTCCACGTATCCATGCTATGTAAGTACAACCCGGACCCTTCTCATGTCTTGGCTCATGAACCGCTTCCACTCCAAGAGGACTTGTCTTATGAAGAAGTGTCGGTCGGTATCACAGACTGAAAGAGCAGAATACTCCGCAACCGGAAAATATCATTTGTAAAGGTCGTGTGGCAGAACCACACGCCCAAGGAGGCTACTTGGGAGCTAGAATCAGAATTTAGAATTCAGTATCCCCATTTATTCATCCAAGAGTAAGAGTTAAATTTGGGGGACCAAATTTCTTAAGGAGGGGAGAGTTGTAACACCTAAGTGTTATTATTTTTATTTTGTAATTATTTGAATTTTTTTTTATTTTTAATTAATTTAATTTGATTTAATTTAATCTAATTTCATGAAAATAAAAATAATAATAATGATAAAATTGGGTAAAAATATTATTTGGATTTAATTGAAATTGATTTTAGAAAAAAAGAGTGAAAATTTAGATTATAGGGGTGTTTTTGAAAAGAAAATCGGAAACCGGAGTCAAAACGCAATTTAGAAAAATTGTGCCACGTCAGCACCCACGTCAGCATCCACGTCAACGGCCCAGTCAGCAGCCCCGGCCAACCAGGACACGCCGTGTGGCAAGAAAACGCTGACCAGGGGACGGGCCACGTGGGTGATCCGCGTGCGCGCGATCGGACGGCCCAGATCCGTTCCCGCGCACACGGACGACCCAGATTCACGCGCACGGATGGCCTAGATTCACGCGCACGGACGGCCCAGATTCAATCAGGCACGGACAGCCCAGATTGCATCGCAATGAACGGCCTAGATTTAATCCCAGCTAAATCGCAATCGAACGATCCAGATTCAATCTTGATGGACGGTCAAGATTAAAAGGCAAAGGATATAAATACCCCCACCCACACCTGACCAAAGAAACCCTAGCCGCCAGTGCTCGCCGGAGAAGAAGAACCAGACGCCGGAGGAGCCGGCCGCCGCCACCCACCGCCGCACCGGAGAAGTTTTCGACCGCCGATCGAGGTAATTTTTCTCCTCCTTGCTCGTTTTTCGATGCTGAGTCTGTCTATGGCCAAACTGGAGCCAAACCACCAGCCAAACGGCCAGAAAACTCAGCCGAAACCCAGCGGCGCCGCCGCACCCCTCCTCGATTTTTGCCTTCGATGAGGCCTTTCGCGGCCTCCGTTTGATGCAAATTTTATACCACTGTGATCACCGTTCTTTTCTCTACAGGTTGATCGGAGCCAAACATCAAAACGCGACTCACACCGGAGGAGCCGCCACACCCGAGAGCACTGCCGCCGGTAAGTTTCGGTTTTTCGTGATATTTCGGCCCACCGAGGGTCTTAGGGTTGTTCTATCGCAGGGACCGATGCAAGCGTGGCCGAAAACGGCCAACTCGAGGCGAATCGCCGTCGCGTCGCCAGAGGCGGAATTGTGATATTGGCCGAAAGGGGCCCTAGGTCTAATTTGGAATTTTTTGGGACACGTGCAGGTACCAATAGTGCGTTTCAGTTCCCCAGAAAAAATTCAGGAAAAATTAGGGACAGCCTGTAGGCGCACTGTAGAGCCGTATTCAGACCCCGAAACAAGTAAGGACTCTTCACCCTATTTCCTATCACGGTATTAAAGTTCAATAAATGATAAAACGGTATTTCATGAATCAATAGATGTGTGAAATTGTTTAAGGTCGCTAATGGAGCCCGAGTCTGGTGTATTTGTCGGTCAGTTGTTGTTTGTTCTATTTTACAGTTTTAAATGCAGTATGATGTTTGATATTTTCATTTCATAGTTTCGTGTGTATATATCATTATTTTTTTTATTATGGGTTGAATGACTGAGAACCCGATGTTGTGTGTTGTCTTGTTTGGCATAAACTACTGGTTTGCATGTTTGTGTGTGATTTGATGATGGTGACTAAGGAAAAAAGGAATAAAAGGTTACGTGAATTGGTAAATGGATAATGTGGACAGCCTGACTAGATATCCTGGGAGATGGTGGACGGACCGGGTCCGTAGGGAACCCTACCGGGAACGTGGTCTCTCATACCGGACGGGGTATGGAGACCTTTTGTATTTTGGTGCCCATACCGGACGGGGTATGGGGACGGCCCGTTTCACCCTCATACCGGACGGGGTATTGAGGTTCATGGTTTTGGTGCCCATACCGGACGGGGTATGGGGACGACTCTGGAATCAGGTTATAAATGTTAAGGGTTCATGGGTAGCGGGACCCCTATGCATCCCCATGGATACTAGTAGGCTGGTAAATGAGGAAAATGTGTTGTTTAATGATTGAAATGCAAAGGCGTGGTAAGTATTATATTATACAGTTCATATGATTTCATGATGATGATAATGTTATTGCTTTCATATGTTATTTTATGGATCTCCACCGAAGGTAAGTGGGACAGTAAAGGATTTTATTACTGATAAAAGGAATTTGTTATAAAATTATGTTCAATTGGTCTTTTTTTGTTTTCTACCCACCTTTACCTCCGTGGCAGTAAGATAGTGTGATGTCTTTACTGGGTTGGTGTAGCTCATTCCTTATTTAACCATTTCAGATCAGGAAGACATTGTTCCCGAGCCCGTTCCGCAAGAAGATGGCGAAGGGGACGCTTAAAGACTCCGTAGTTATATTTATAGTTCTTATTTTTGAGTATCTCTTTTAGTTAGTTTGTTCTTTTATATTTTGAGCACGTTTTTGGTTTTGTGTAAGGGATGTTAATCAAAATTTTTATTACGCTTCCGTATTTGACATTTTTAATACACATATTTCATATTTAAATTTCCGAGGCCGTTACAATCTATCATCCGGTCCTCTCTGCCAATTGACCATAGGGTATGTTCAATTCATTATCTTGACCAACACAGGTCAGACACACACCACAATAGAAATGGCCACGCACACACGTAGACTCGTCTATTCAGGCTTCCCAAAACAAAATGACAGCAACACCTAATAACAACATCCACTCAGTCGATCATGAAGGAACTAAAACTAATCAAACAAAATAAAAACGGCGACAAAAAAAAATAAAAAAAATGAAAAACACATGCCAGTAGATATAATAAACTGAAAATAGAAAAAGAAGATAGAAATAAAGAGAGAAATCTGAGGCCCTTACCTGATCGAATAAGAGAAGCCAAAGAAATGAAGAGTGAAATCAAAGGCCCTTACCTGATCAAACCAGAAAAGCCAAAGATGAAGATGGTTTGAGGTGCGGCTCTGTGTCGGGTTTAAAAGAAGAAATATAAACCCTAAATATGTTAAAGAAGAAGAATGATAATATTAAGAGTAAATTAGTAAATTCAAAAAACTTAGAAGTATAATAAAAAAAAAAAAAATCAAACCGTCATAAAATCATTGAATCGATAGTTTTAAAAAATGAAAAAAATCATGGTTTTAAAACCCATGATCCAACCACCAAAAAATTATATCATGCGTTTAGAAATACAAACAAATAGAACAAAACTATAAAAAATCATATCATTATTATTAAACCATCGTCTAAATAGACCTTTAGACTTTTGTTGTTTCGCCTTCTTTGACATTTCACATGCCATGTCTCGGGCTTGGGTCTTGATGATTTCAATTTATACACTACAAGTTCAGGGAGATTGATATTTCAAATAATTGTAAAACATCATCTTATTAACAATCTATAAAAAGAATTGCCATACAATCTGTACAAAGCTTCATGAAAAAATAGAAGCCGATACAGTTACAATTAGCTCTTTCAAAAACCGAGCTAATACTGAAGAAATCAAACAAGAAATATACACAGTTGTGTGTTTGTATATGAGGAAACTATAACGAAAACCAGACGATAAACCCTCTAAAATTCGGGCTACCATACGTGAATAAATTGTTCTCCTGGGAGTACTGGAGTTCTTGGAGTGGAAGAGGAGCTTTTTTCATAGAATTCATGGAGGATTCTGATAAGGGCACTCGCCTTTTTGCTTGCTCGAGATGTTCCTTCATTGAGTAAGGAATACAAAGACACCATGAGAGAAGGGTTCTTCACTAAAACAGATACCACAACGGCCCCGCCATTGATGCACAGAGCCAACAACAAGGACACGCAAAATTCTTTCCCTGCCCTTGAAGAGGATGAATTCAGAGTTCCGATGATAAGATTTAGTGCTCCACCGCGTAGAATTGCGATGCACCCATCAGGATTTTGTGCTAGAGAAGACAAGACCGCTAGAGAATCTGTTATGAGATACTCCCTATCGGCAGATCTGAGAAGCTCAATCAACAAAGAGACAGTCCCTGCTGCAAGTACTCTCTTGTGATTATCAGGGTATGTCAAGAGCCCAAAAATGGCAACCAATGCGTTCTTTTTAGCATGATGGTTAGTGCCTTTAATCAACTCTATTAAACTCGGTATTGACTCCGGAATTTCTCCAATCATCTCGCTGTACTCCTCAACTGAGGCGAGATAAAAAAGAACAGCAGCTGCATGCTGTCTAGCCTCTTCTTTTAGTCCATTGTGCAAGACACCCACAATCAAATCCAGTCCACCATTGTCAACTATTACACTCTTGCTTTTGGAATGTTTTGAGAGATTTAACAGAGCGGCAATGGCGTTCTCTTGGGTTGTTGAATCGCTTGACAATAACAACTTCAATAGAGATTGTATGGTTCCAGCTTCTACCAAGCAAGACCTGTTAAAAATGCTCGTCTTGCTAAGAACCCGAACCTCAAAAGCCGCTCTGTTTGTCTCTTCAGGATCGCCGTTAACGAGCCTGTCTGCAATAAAAGCAGCGAGCATCTTAACGGCTCCTTCAGCTGCCATACTCCCTGCAACCATCGTCCTTTTCAAGTCACGATTCTTGCGACCTGGTTCAGAACCAGAACCTGCTCCGTTTTCAGAGCAGTAAAGCTCGATTAGGCGCCTGACCACCAAATTAGGGACTAACACTGTGCTTGTTAGCTTCTCTCCTGTGTTGGGACACGTTCGATTCCCTGCCCTGAACCACTTCAAGATGGAGGTGCGATCGTAGGTGTGCCCAGTTGATAATGTGACTGGATCAGCCATGATCTCAAGAGAAATTGGACATCGAAAATCATCTGGGTTAAGGCCATGAAATTCCTCCTGGTTGCGCTGTTGATTATCGCTAGATCCAGTGTCAATCGAACCAAATATTACAACCCTGCAATAGCACATGAATCCCATTAAGCTACTCAAGAGCTCCACTTCCTTCTTCTTTTCTTCGTTTAAGTACTCTGCAGCAATCTCTGAATCCAGGAACTTAACCTCCTTGTTGCAGTTGCTCCATTTTCTGATGCCGAGATACTCCAGAACCGGTTTGATTTCTCTCGGATCTGGGGCAACCCCATCCTCGAACCGACCCAAGATCCAGATAATATCATTTATAACTCGGCTATCATCAGGGTCAACATCGGATCTTGCTTTACGGGTTTGTCTAACGAGCAGTTCGATTAACTCGTTGACTTCATCGGACAAATCCACTGATCCAAAAGGGAATACATCCAGGCTCATGGCTATTGCGCGGAAAATGTCCCGGAAGTGGTTAGCGATCCGATCTGATTGCGTTAACATCCACGTCCGAGCGCCATCTCGAGTGCAATCTTCTACTAGGTACAGGAGCTTTTGGAATGTCAAATGGAGCTCCGACAAGCTCAAGGCAAATGAATCTGGCATAATCGACGAACCGTTTCCTATTTCCTCGAGAAAAACAAGAAGATTTCTAACATGGCGAAACGCCTGCCGGGCGTTTCGCTTGTTAGTAGCGAAGCATATAGATCTGTAGCTGCAAATTTTGTTACCGAGATCGATGAGCGAGTTAACGAGAGTGACCGGAGAGATTGATTGGCAGGGATGTACCGCCGGGAACGTGAGAATCCGGCGAGTCCAATCGTTTGACTTGTGAATCATTTACAGAAAAACTTGATAAGAAAAAAAAAAAAGGTTCTTTTTGGATTTGTCTGTTTGGTTTGGATAAATGGCAGCCAGTAAGCGGATATTTATAGCGTGGAGTCATAGGACACGTGGCGAAAATCCACAGTTCTTCAGCTTCTGGATTTTCGACACGTGGTGAGAAGATATTGGCAGTATTTACGATAAGTAAAGGTTGCTTCCTAGATGGTCAGTAGACATGTAAAGAGTTGACGAATGAGCGACACGTGGCCGAGGATTATGGGAAGAGCTCGTGATTACGAAGGTACGTGAATGGACGAAGCCGACATCAGCTGAGAAATATAAGTTGTATAATACGGCAATTATTAATTATTAATATATTTTTTATGCACATTGTTATTTTATTCAGAGAAATTTGGTGTTACGTTTTAATTGTCATTTTCTAGGCAAACTTAGTTTCTATTAAATAAACAGCGGAAATAAAATATTTAACAAATTATATATACATATATATATATATATTCAAGTTCTCAGGATATCAATTGCATAGATGATATAATTTGGAAAATACAGGTATAAATTTAATGGGATAAATTAAAAATTATTTGTAGGAATTAAAATGCAAATTTTAAAAGTAGAAACGCGTTTGGTTGACAAATAAAGAAAAATGTGAAAATAAAGTAAAACGGGTATATCGTTATAATTGTGGGAGTGGACTTACTTGTTTATTAATTACACATAATATTAACAAGAAATTAACGGTTGATTAATATAGAATATTTGTTGTATAAGAGATGAAAATATTGCGAATCTGCCCCTTCTTCAATTATTTTTACGTTCATTTTTCTTTTGTCACCATTTTGCTGGCACCTGCTGTGATTTCTAGTGTTAAACTTCAAAAAATTCTGCTTAAAAAGTCAGATAATGTGTTATATTATATATATATATATATATGTTTTGTTATTTTCTATACACGTAAGATTTGGGACTATAAGTTAAACATATTTATTTAAAATAAAATTTTGGATGCATTATGTATGATATTGGAGGATTATTTTTAGAGTTATCTGAAAAAATATCTATTTTCTATGGAGATAATACCTCAAAAGATCTTATATTATTAAAAACAAATTAATATTTATTTTTACAATATTTTTTTACTTAAATATAATATTTATTCATGTCAACCTCATTAAATAAATAACTACTTGATAAAAAACTCATCCATGTGAATATATATATATATATATATATATATATATTATATGATTAATGTATTGTTATTTATTTCTTTTACAACTCTACTTTTTTGTACCGTTTTTTTTTAGGTGTTATTGAACCAGATGATAACATTTAAATAGAGGCCGAAAAGCATAGGAGGGGCATTAATGATAAAAATTTTCTTGTAGTTTTATATCTTCTTGTTAATTTTTTGTAATATATTTAGTTTATTACTGTGAGATAACAAAATAAGAAAAAAAAAAGAAATGAAGTAGTTACTTGTAATACCTGGGTCTGTAATTTGGCACGCTATTAATTTTAAAGTTTAAAAAAAGTATAAAAATATAATTTATAAATTTATAAATTTTGTTTAATGTAAAATTAGAAAACAAAATAACTTGATGATGAAATTGAAAATAATTTTGGGAAAAATTGGTGAAAATTTGAGTTCAGATAGTATTTTTAAAAGAAAAATCAGAAACTGAGGGTCAAAAAGAAGAAAAAAAAATTACGCCACGTAGAACTGCCCAGTTAGTAGTCCCGACAAATCGGAGCCTGCGCGTGGTAAGGCACGCTTACTCAGTGCTATGCGGGAGGCCACACTGGCAATCCGCGTGTCTGTGATCGGACAGCCTGAATGTGTTCCCGCACGCATGGACGGTGCGGATCCATTCCCTCTTCAGTCACGATCAGATGGTTGTGATTAAACGCGACAAATAACCTAAATTTATTCTCTTTAAATGCGATCGCACGGTCGAGATTAAATCGCAATGAACGTTCTAATTTATTTCTTCTTTAAACTCGATCGAAAAGATTAAGAACAAACGCGATGAACGGTCTAAATTTAAGAGATACGGGTATAAATATCTCGCATCACACTGAACCCAAACTCTAGCCGCCAACCTCCCACTGGAGAAGAAGAACTAGTCGCTAGAGAATTGAGTCGACCGTCGCCGTGTTGGAGCCACCTCCAACTGCCAAAAAAGGTAAAAATTCTCATATCCGCTCGAAATTTGATTTTGAACACATCTATAGCCAAATTGAAGTAAAAAGAACAACAAATGAGCCAAAAACTGCGGGTAAAGCCTGACGTTGTCGCCGTGGGCAAAACTCGAAATCGGCTCCGATGAGCCCATTCCTGTTTTTCGTTTCATGCTATTTTTTCACCATTATATTTTCTACAGGTTGACTGAAGAAAAACATCAAGCCGCAACGGTGAGTCGGCAGAGTCGCCGTACCGAAAAATTCTGCCGCCGGTAAGTTTTTGTTTTTTGATTTTTTTCAGCCAACCGATGTCCCTTAACGTGTTTTCTCGGAGGGATGGGTATAAAACCGGTCAAAACCAGCCAAAATTGGTTGAAAACAGCCAGGTCGAAGCAAACCTCCACAGTAGGCGGTGGTGCCATCGCCGGAGTACGATGAAGAGTATTTTTAACACTAATTCTGGATTTTTTGGGGTATTTTTAGGTACGTGAAGAGTATTTTTATCTCCGAATGAAAATTCAAGAAACTCAGGGACCGCCAGTAGAAGCAACTAAAAGTTTGGTATTTCGGATACCGATTCGGATAAAAATCTCTCACCTTATTCCCTGTTATAAAATTAAAGTTTAATTATCAATAATATGATATTTTGCATAATTTAGAAAATTTCAAGAATTAATTACAGGTTACTAATGGAGCCAGAACCGGTTATTTATTATTGTTTGTCATGTTTAATTGATTGTTTGATTTTACAGTTTTAAATGCATAATAATATACTAGAATTGGTAAAATAATTCACTTGTGTTTCCTTGATGCATGTATTGTTTGTCTTGTGTTGATTTATGGTTAAATTGTGAAACTGAAAATTAAATGTAAACAAAAAATTGATTGGTTAAGTGAATGAATGAATGGTGGCCTTACTAGATATCTTGAGAGATGGTCGACAGACCGGGTACATAGGGAACCCTACCGTGAACATTGCCTCATACCAGACGGGGTATGGGGACGGCCAATTAGTTGACAATGTTGAATAATGGTTCACGCGTAGTGGGACATCCCTATGGGCCTTCAGGGATATCTGTAGACAAATAAAGATGGAAACTTATTATTCTTGCTCGCTTGAATATGAAATTAAAATATTATTTGGGTTATTGTCTCTATAGGTCGATTTTGGAAATCTCGCAATGGTAAATACATGAAATAAATGGTTTTCCTTATGATAAATGAAGTTGCTTAAATCAATAGCTTAATTGGTTATTTTTATGATTTTTACCAACCTTCAGTTTCTGTATCGGTAAGTAGTGTGATATTCTTACTGGGTTAGTGTAGCTCACCCTTTAATTAACTATTTCAGATAAAGAGGATCAAGACCCAGATCCCGATCAACAAGAGGATTGTGAATAGTTCACTCCCCAAGACTTTTTCAAAAGCTAGTGAATGTCGTCTTAAGATGCTCAGTTGTTTACTTTTTATTTATTTCTTTGATTTTCGTTTATTCTTTTAGAAGGGACGTTCCCGTAGCCCTATTGGGTATTTTAAACTATTGTGTAAGGAATGTAAACCCTAAACTCTATTATTTCGCTTTCGCGTTTAATTCATGACTTTATTTCCTTTTAAGTTCCGAGTCTTTACAATTGGTATCAGAGCCACATTTCTCGGAACTAACCTTTGCACAAAAACCTTATGAAACACCAAAAATAATGAATTATCACTCAATCATTCATTGTGAAATGTAGGTGTAGATAGATGAGGAGAGGAAGACCCTCACTAAACTGAGCAGATAGGGGGGGTTCACTTCGAGAGAATGTTGACTGACTATTTAAAATGCTGGAGAGATTCATTGTTGCTCAGCAGGTCTAGGAGGAAAAAAGGGAGCTACCTGACCTCCCCCACTGCACAGTTTGAGCCACCC